AAAAAAAAAAAGAATACATCCTCCGGGCTGCAGGCTCCAAGAAGATATTACCCATTAAAACATATATTATATATTCATATACAATATATGTATATTCTTAGTAAAATACACGTAACATAAAATTTACCATCTTAAGCATTGGTAAGTGTAGAGTTCAGCGGCATTAAGTACATTCCCATTTTTGTGCACCCCCAAGAAGATATTATCCTTTAAAAAATACTGTCCATTCCCCACGATCCCCTCTGGTGTCCCACACCTGTGCTGGCTGTCACCCTCTGCCCTTGTTCTTGTCTCCTTGAGTGGCGAGATGATTGATGTGTTCCTCTCCCTCCCAGTCTGGGACGACGTGTCCCTCATCTGCTTGTCCCCAGTGTCCTGCACACGCTTGGCACAGAGTGGACGCTCCTTAAAAAGAAGTGAGTTAGACTCTTGAGGGAGGTGGAGCCCCATGGACCAAGCCATCAGCGCAGGCTCTCAGGGTGGCTCTGCCAAAGCACAGATTTTTCTTGTCTCAAACCGTGCATGGCCCTCCAGACAGCACATCCAAATCACTTAACCCTCCCGAGAGCTTTGGACGAGGGCGCTAGTCATCTCCACTTTGGAGATGAGGAAATTGGGGTCAAGGGAGGATGTGTGACTTGCCCCCGGCATCGTCCTTTGAGGTTACTGGCAGAGCTGGGATTTGAACACAGGCACTGGGGTGGGGCTGCTCTATTTTCCTTTAAATCATGAACCATTTTAATTTTTAATTGATGCAAGCACTCTACACCGTTAAATACACTTTGAAAGTCATTCAACTTCGCTTCAATTGTAAGTTCTCTTTTATTAACATACCTTGATTTAAAGAATACCCTAACTTACCATTGACGGGTTGCTAGGTGAATCATTAGACTGAATGCACAATTGCTTTATTATAATCTCCTCATTCTCTCTCCTTAAGTGAGCCTGAAGGTATTCAGTCTAAATTAGAGAACAGAACGTTAGCCCTTATAAATGGCTAATGTTTATAAGATGCATCAGAAAGATCCCTGCTAACCCTTTGGCTGAACCCTTTTGCTTGAGTAAAAGAACTTAGTCCAATTTAATAACAGTTCGATTTAAGGCTGCTTCTTCAAAGCCTATTAGCAATCCTCAGGCACTGGCACAGATTTAAATCAATCGGCAGAGCTGGGAGAGTACAAATCTCTGTGGATTTTGCAGATTGCTGATGCCTCAGTTTCCTCGTCTGTAAACGAGGACAGTAAAGATTAATGAGTTGGCTGTTGAAATAGTGCCCGGTGCCCACAGTAAGTGCTGGATCATGTTAATAATTATTACTGTCTCAGCCGAGCTAGCTGCTTTCGCTGACAGCTTCCACTTCACCCAGAGTTCACCTTGAGGCCATGTGACTGGACCTCACATTTTATTATGAAAAATTTCAGGCATGCGGAAAGGTTGAAAGAAGAATGCCATCCATGGACACCCTTATACCCACCACATAGACTCAACAATTGTTCATGTTGTGCCATATTTAATTTATTTACTGCTGTTTTTATTTTCTTCTGAACATTTCAAGGAAGTTGCTAACATCATGACCTTTTACCACTAAATACTTCAGCGCGCATCTCTTAAGAAGGAGACGGTCTCCTAAGTAACCACCAAAAAGTGAATACGTCTATAATATCACCTAATGTCCAATTCATATTCAAATTTCACTTCTCAGCAGACAGTACCATCAAATTTTTGGATTTTTGCCAAACTGAAGGATGAGGGTCTCTCAGTGTGATTAGAATTTTCTTGTCTCTTATTATGATTACAAATGAGCGTCTTCTCACATGCTCAGGGTCCTTCCGCATCTCTTTTTCTGGAACTATCTGCTCATGGCTTGTGTCCATTTTATTTTATTTTATTTTTGGCCGCACCACATAGAATGCAGGATCTTAGTTCCCCAACCAGGGATCGAACCCATGCCCCCTGCGATGGAAGCGTGGAGTGCTAACCACTGTACCGCCAGGGAATTCCCACTTTTGTCCATTTTAAAATCATATTTTAATTTTTTTCATATCTGTTTTTAAATACTCCTTAAATATTGGTGAAATTAGCCTTTGTCTCTATGTTGCAAATATTGGCTCCCATTTGTCTTTTTTTTTTAAATTTTTGCTTGTGCAGGTTTCTTTTTTTTGCCATAAAAAGCTTTTTTTAAATTTAGCTTTAATTTTTATGTAGCTGAATTTATCAAGTCCTACATTGAAAGGCTTTTCTCATTCCTGAGTTATAAAGGAATCCCCTCATGTTTTCTTCTACAGGTTTTAAGGTTTCACTTTAAAAAATCTGAATCTCTGGCTCATTGGGTATTTATTCAAGTGTTTGGTGTGAGGTATGGGTCCCCTTTTATCTTTTTTCCAAATGGCCGTCCAATTGTCCCAAGACCACTTATTAAGAAGTCCATCATGTCCAGTGATTTGAGATGCCACTTTCATCATACATCAAATTTCCATATGTACTTGGGCAACTTTCTGGACTTTCTATTCTGTTCCGTTGTTCGGTCTGGCTAGTCATGTTCCTAACTACACTATTTTAATGCTGGGGCTTTATGATATGTTTTAATATCTGGTAGGACTTATCCCCATCCCACTGCCTTTCTTTTTAAGTTTTCCTGGCCATTCTTGATAATTATTTCATATCAACTTCAGAATCAACTTGTTTAACTCCAGGAAAAATAAAAACAAAAAACAAACAAAAAAAACCCCAATCTACTCTCAGTATTTTCATTAGGATCATTTTAAATGGATATATTTACCTGGGTCAAATGGACATCTTTATGGTATTGAACATGTTATTATTAGGGGGCTATCTTTGGGGCCCTGTTTTGGGTTGAATTATGTTCCCCCTGAGAGGTATGCTTAAGTCCTAACCCCAAGTACCTCAGAACATGAACTTATTTGGAAATAGGGCCTTTACAGAGGTAATCAAGTTAACATGAGATCATTAGGGTGGGACCTAATCTGATGTGACTGATGAAGATGAAGGCAGAGATTGGGGTGATGCCTCTACAAGTCAAGGAACATCAAAGATTGCCAGCCAGCCACCAGAAGCTAAGAGAGAGGCCTGGGACACATACTCCCTCACAGCCCTCAGAAGGAACTAACCTTGTCAATACCTTGGTCTTGCACTTCTGGCTTCCAGAACTATGAGACAAGCAATTTCTGTTATGTTAAGTCGCTCAGCTTGTGGTACTTTGTTTCGACAACCCTAGTAATCCACTTCAGGTCCCTCGGAGGATCTCTTAGGCTGGAATTGAGCTGTCCAGCCATGACTTCAGGACATCGAGAAGCATTTGTGTGTTTTCCTGACCCCAAGCAAGGCCAGCCAGGCCTGTTTCTTGCCTGCCTGAAGCGGATGAGTGAACCAATGAATGCTTTGGAAAGCTGGAGGTGTGACTTCACTCTCAGTGGGCGGCCAAACCCACTGAGGTCGAGGTCAGTGAATGAATCATTTGTGCAGTATGGCTCAGTGAGTCAGGGAGGGCCAGGCAGAAAGCCCGAGTCTGAGGCCTATTTCCTTGTCTCCTTCCTTTGGCATCTAGAAGCAGCCCCCTAAAAGTCATCAGCCCATGAAACAGACAGTGAAATGCCGCAATGCGCCACCCTCGTGATACGCCCTCTGTGTGCTGTGGAGAGATAAGGACGAAGGACTTAGAAAACAGAGAGGAAGCGCCAGGCCCCCAGCTGCTCCGCTTACTTGTATGTGCCTTTGGACAAGTTAGTTAACTTCTCTGGACCTCGGTTCCCTCATCTCTTCCTTTGTGGGTGGTTGATGGTACCTGCCTCATAGGGCTAGTGTCACAGTCTCGGAGGAAATGTATGTAATGCACTTGGCAAAGGGCTAGGGCTTACAGCAAGCGCTCAGTAGAGACTGGCAATTATTAATAAAAACTGCCCCAAAATAACTTACCCACAAAGGCAAAATTGGTAGGCACAATTTCTGAGTCTTCAACTAGGATTCTGAACATACCACTGGTAACTTTCTTCTCCTTCCTTCAGGGGACAGTTTGGAATAGACAAACTATGACCTCATTTGCTCTCTTCAACATTAATTAGTGTTTTCTAATAGTGAAAAGGAAATTATGTCTCAATTCATATTCCGTCTCAAAAAAATTAACTAACAACAGAGATTTGTCACTTCTCACCGTGGCGTCAGTTCCCCTGGTGCCTGGGGCGGGGCTTGGGGCCATGTTGGCAGGCGGTGCCCTTGGTTCAGGGACAGGCCTGTCTGAGTCACAGAGGCCCTGTTACTTCCTGGTCCCTCTCTTGGGCTCCTGGGTTCATCTGCATGTGTTTATCCAACAAACCTGCTTTGAGGTTTGTTCTGGGGGCCAAGAAAGGCAAGGAGCCTTGGTCAGTCATGGGGCCTGTTCACACAGGCTGCTGGAGCTTCATCTGGTCCCACAGCGAATCTGAGAGTTGGTCTCTTGGGGTTATTATTGCCCCCCATTTTATATGGCAGAAAACGGAGACTCTCAGGGGCCAAGTGGTAGATAACCGAGATCCATCTCTCAGAGGTGTTTCGTCCCGACATTTCTATTCTACAACAGTCTTTGTCTCTAAGGAGACATCCCCTCCTCCGGGCATCTTTCCCTCATAATTCTCTCCCAGTTGGGAGAGGGCCCTTTTCCGGCCTTTCCGACGTCTACCCTGGCGCTTAGCACCTGGGTCGTACTTGTCTATTGACAAGTCTGTCCCCCTGCTAGACTGCTTGTTGTAGTGTTTTAATTACTTTACTGTATTCTCCTGGATCTAAGAGGTCAGCTATTCTGAGACCCACCCCCCTCCCCGTTTAATGTATATACCATAAAGAAAGAGAAATGTTGGCAATTAACTATGTCAATTAAGTATGCTATGCCTCCGACTGTAAGTTATATTCCACTTTGAGGAACGTTAAAATATGAGAAATGTGCCTTAGGCTCAATGAAATATAAAAGCAATTACTCCTTTTGAACACATCCTAGGGAAAGAAGATTTTATAAACATCCATATACTAATAAGAACAAAATTCACTAAACACTTACCCTGTGCCAGGAATTGTTCTAAAGTGCTTTTCATCCATGATCTCATATCGGGGGTTGGCAAACTTTTCCTGTAAAGGGACAGAGGTAAATATTTTAGGCTTTGTGAGCCAGACAGTGTCATAGCTACTAACCTCCCGTTGTAATGTGAAAGCAGCCACAGAGGGTAGTATCAATGTGTATGGCTGAGTTTTAATAAAACTTTATTTACGGACTCTGAAGTTTGAATTTCACACGACTGTCACGCGTTACAAAAATATTCTTTTTCTTTTGATTTTCCTCCCAGCCATTTAAAATATAAAAACCATTCTTAGCTTGTGAATTGTACAAAAAGAAGGAGTAGGCTAGATTTGGCTCATGGGCTGTAGTTTGCTGATCCCTGTCTCCTATGATCTTTACAATAGCCCTACAAGATAGATGTTATTATTATCTTCACTTCATACATGAGACAACTGAGTCTCAGAGAGGTAAAGTAACTTGTCCAAGGACACACAGCTGGTGAGTGCTCAGGCCGGAATTCTAACCCAGGCAGTCTAACTCTGTAACTTGCTTTTAACAAGTCACCCTAAATATGGTAAATATGGTTTACCCTAAATATGGTTGCCTTTCAACATTTTTAGCTTTTTCTCCTGATTACAAAAGTTCCACATTTGTGTTGAAAAATTCAAATCATACAGAATTGTAAGAAAGAAAATGAAAGTAACCCCACCCTCCAGAGAGAAACATTTAAGGGTCTGTACACAGAGTTCACACAGTGCTGAACAGATTTAGAATGTTCTGGACACTGTGACTTTGGATAGGTTGCCTCACCACTCTGGACCCTTGTCTCCCGAATGAGGGAGCTGGCTGAGATGATGCACCGCCACGGGCCTTCCCTGACCGTGAGATCTGTTTGTAAGGGTTGTGCAACAGAAGCTGGTTCTGTCCTAACTGTCTGGGTGTGGAGGGTGAAGTCACCCCTTGCCAGCCCCTTAGGATGGGCCAACTGGCTGCTAAGTCCCTGCGCCCGTGGCTTCGCCAAATCCCCAAAACTGAGTGACTTTGGAAAGGCAGCAGGGATACCAGGGCCTGAGCCAGGGGTTGTAGGAGGCTTGGGCTCCCTCCAGGGCTGGTGCCAGGGACCACTCTGCCCACAGAGCAGAGTTCCAGGCAAGCTGGGGGTCAGAGGCTTCAGCCAGAGCTGCGGGGGATGGACTTGCAACAGGCAGGGAGGCCTTAAACAGACTGGGGTTCCTACCTCAGGATGCCTGGGTCCTCCCCTCCATATCTCCATCAGACAGGCCCAGGGTTTGGATCTGCATTTGATGATTACCAGCTGTGTGACCTTGGGCACATTCTCCTCTCTGTTTCCTTGCCTATAACATGGGGATAATAACCGGCTCACGGGATTATTGATTGGTTCACGAGATGATACCTGTAATGCAGCTGGCACAGGGGTGAGGCTCCATAACTGGCCATTTCTATCCCCTTCTCTCTTCTTACACTTTTCAACAGTACCTTTAAGAAAATCCTTCCACCATGCTACAAATTGTGGACCTACCATGTGCCAGGCACTGTATCTAAGATAGTAGGGCGGGGAGGTGACGGACGAGAGAAACACACCTCCTACCCTTAAGCAACTCAGGGAGGGTAAGATAAGGATCTGAGAGATGTTTACATAATCAGAAAGTTTGGACAAAGTCCTCCAGGGCCCAGGTGCAGAAGTTGGTGGAACCAAAGAAGGCTTCCTGGGGATGCCACTTTGGGACTTGGAGCCCAGAGGAGATAGCATCCTGGCAGGGGGAGGGGGAGCAGTGTGAGCAAAGGTGTCGGGGTGGGAAAGGATGAGAAACACATGTCCAGGGGTTTGCCTAAATAACAACAGAAGAGTCGGTGAGAGCAGTGGGGGCGGGGCCAGATGGAGGGGTGGAGCCTAGTGCTGGCTTTGGATTTGGTGGGACAGAGGGAGTTAGGAAGCGTACTGAGCAAAGGCAGGAACTGCCTGCCTTACGGCACTAGGGGGACAGTAAAAGGGCTGTGGATTCTGGAAGAGAACGGCAACGGTGGGAGCCAACTCCCTCTCCCGAGAGCACCACCTCCAGATGTGACCGGCACCAGGCCCTCGATGGACAGTATTTCCAGTTTACAAATGGGGAAATGGAGGCTCAGGAATGTTAAGCCACTTTCCCAAGGTCACAGAGCAGACAGTGAGCTGGGGCCACTTTCTGCCTGTCATCTGGGGCATGCCACTCTTTCCAAAGTCGACTTTGAGGGCAGGATTCAGACAGAGATTGTAGGGTAATATCAACCCCGGCTACACTGAGTCTTCCCACAGCCCCTAGGAGTACATGTTCTTATCTCCATCAAAGGAAGGAGGGGGCTTCCTTTGGGGCTTCCTGGGGCCTCAGGAGGGAAACGGACTTACTCAACGCCACACATTAAGGGTGGGGAGTCCAGGCCAGGCGGTCCCACTGCCCCGCCCTGCCTCCAGGTTTATTTCTAAGTACATCTAAAATCAGGAAGAGCCCAGGTCGGAAAGGCCAGGTTCTCTCCCCAGAGAAAAATTCCCCTGATGCTCTTTTGTGCCCTTCTGCCCATCAGGACCACAATTCCAGCCCCTTGCTGCTTCTGCAGTCACCACAGACCAGATTATGCTGGGCCTCTCTTTGGCTCCATCTCCAGCCAGAAGTAGCATCTCTACTTCCTGGACTGGGGGCCTGGGTGGCTACATCTTTACCACCAGCCCCTCTGACCTGTGCCACTGTGTGTTGATTGGCCTCAAGGAGGGACCTTAGCCTGAACTGGACCTCTGTACTAACCACACCTACCTGCATCTTGTGGTGGACTTCTCCCCAGGTTCTGATGCCAGATGCTGAAACACACAGTGGCATGATGATATAAGCATTGCTCTGCTAGGAAGGGAAAAAACAAGAAACTTAGTGAATCATAACAAGAAGGGATGGGTAGGGCCTGGGTTCCTTACATCCATCATCTCTAACTTGGGTCTCAAACCATCCACAAAGTGGACAGTTGTAAACCCATTGTACAGATGCGAGCTTAGAGGCTCAGTGGGGGAAAAGATTCACCTGGGATCACCCAGCAACAAAATGACAGCGTGGGGTTCAAGCTCTGCTCTTTCCAAATAGGGATAGAGAGGAAAACCCCACAGAGCTCAGCAGACACCTGACTTTAGGGCCAGACTGTGTCACTTAACACTGTAATATTTGTATAAAAAAGTTTTCTTTTTAAAAAATGTGTAGGTATTAAAAACCGCTCTTGGTAAAAAAAAAAAACAAAACTTGGATCAAGTTCACATGCTGTGAAAAATCAGCAGCTGTAACATTTTATGATTCAACGCATAAAATATGTTGAGTTCCTCAGATGAATAAGTAGTATAAACAAAGAAGTTTTTTCTTTCTTAAAAAAGATACAGGGAGGGCGTTGCCATTATCTGAGGACCTCTTTGCTGCCCTCAGCCAATGTTCATCTGAAGGTAGAGAACGCCCTTTACAAGAAAAAAGCACTTAGCCTTTTACTTTTCTAGAATTTAGGCAGAAAGTTTGAGCATGTGAGAACACCGAAGCTAAGCGAGGCAAATGCAGAAGTTGCCTCTGGTGGTACAATCCACAGACCAACCACCCAGGGTGGCAGTGAAACGCCCCCCTCCCCCGGAGGAGAGGCTAAGAAACTACAGAATGTTCCTGATCCGGCACCCCAGCACGGTGGTGCAATATTTATGTTTGTGTACGTAGCACTGTTGGTGCTGCTGCAGAGGGGCTCCGCCGCCCAGGGGGGCGTCACTAGAGCCCGGGACGAGGGTGACCGCGTGGGGTTTTCCCAAACGTTTGTCCAGGTCCTGGAAATCCTCTTAAAGCACTGTAGGATTGGATTTCGAGTTCGGCCCATATTGATGGTGAGAAGCAGAGCGTGGGGGCTGCGCCCGGCCCCTGTTCCCCTTTGCAGCCCCCGAGCCCAGCGCTTAGTAGGCGCTCAATCAGTACATATTTGCGGCATAAAGAGATGGAGCCGCTCAGTCTTAGGCAAATGTGGCGAGAAACGTGTCTGGCGGCCCCTGGTGGGGCGCTGTCGAGCCGCGATGGGGGTCGCCTCCCTAAACCCCGAACCCCGCAATCCACAACCGGGCCTTGCGACCCCTTACCCTGATTTCAGCCCCCTGACTTGCGCTCCATTGGCTCACAATCGTCTAGGGACTACACGACTAGGAATGAGATTCTTCCGCTTGGTATTCGATTGGAAGGCGTTTTACTCGTTAAATGTACATTTTAAGTAACAGGGAAGTCTGGGGAACAGGAGAATATTTCCCCGAACACCTCCACCCCAACTCAGCCCGGTAGTTCTGGGATGGATTTGTCTTCAGCCCTCATTTCAGGCGCCTCGCTGTTGCCCCACCCCCAGCAGTGTGATACTGGGCAAGTAAATCGCTTCTCCTTGGGAACCTGCTTCCTCGCCAACTGGGGACGAGGCAATGGGCGAAAGGGGCCCACGTGTATGCAAAAACAAAGGAAACCCCTTTCCGCTCCGGTGGGCGGCGGAGGGGGCGCTGGGAAGCGGCACGGTGGAGAGGGAGGGGAGGCGGAGGCCGGTGGCAAACGGCCGGATCTCCCTGCCGTTCGCACCCGGGAGGTCAGTCCTCGCCTGGCAGAGTGCCCGTCCCCTCCCCTCCCCGCTGGGCGCGGAGAGCGGCGCGGGCCAGGTCCCCGGGGACGCGCCAGGCGCAGGCCGGATGGCCTGGCGGGGGCCTGAGCCGGAGCCAGAGCGCAGCCAACGGACCCCACTCGGAGGCCGATGACGTCTTTGCCTTTGGCTCCTCCGGCGCCAAGCCCGGCAGGGCGGGTGACGTCACCGCACCGGTCACGTGATCGCTATTCAAACAAACAAACCCCCTCCCCCTGAGCGCGCGAGACCCGCCCCTCCCCGCCCCGCCTCGCCTGCCTGCCGAGAGGCCACATATAAACGCGCTCACCCGGTCAGGCTCGCTGTGAAGGACGTCGGGGCTGTAGGGACTAGGCGGGCCGGAGGAGCAATCGGGAGAGCAGCAAGGAAACCGAGGCGGTCTAGAGTCCCGCACGACGACCCCTCGCTCAGTCCAAAGGCAGTTTGGGGTTTGGCGCAAAGAAAACCGGGGTCGGGCTTTTCCTCGAAAGCCGTCGCTCTACTTTTGGCTTCCCAGGACAAAGAGCACAGGAGGACTTGCACGCTGGGGGCGCTGGGGCCGGCCATGGTCATGGAAGTGGGCTCCCTGGACGCCGGAGGCCTGCGGACGCTGCTGCGGGAGCGCGCGGCGCAGTGCTTGCTGTTGGACTGTCGTTCCTTCTTCGCTTTCAACGCCGGCCACATCGTCGGCTCGGTCAACGTGCGCTTCAGCACCATTGTGCGGCGCCGGGCCAAGGGCGCCATGGGCCTGGAGCACATCGTGCCCAACGCCGAGCTGCGCGGCCGCCTGCTGGCCGGCGCCTACCAAGCCGTGGTGCTGCTGGACGAGCGTAGCGCCGCCCTGGACTGCGCCAAGCGCGACGGCACCCTGGCTCTGGCCGCCGGAGCGCTCTGCCGCGAGGCGCGCGGTGCGCAAATCTTCTTGCTCAAAGGTACGCCGTCGGGGGTGCTCAGGGGCGGGCCGCACGCCCCCTGCCGCCTTGCCCGGGGACCCCTGGCCCTCAGCTCCTGGGGGGCTGCCCCACCTGGAGCGCTTGGACGCCTGAGTCGCATTGTGGGAACTTGTTGACTTTGTTTGGCACTAGGAACAAAAGACTCGCCTGGGCCTCTCCGGGATAAACTTACAGCCCTAGTGGATGGGGGAGTTGTATGAAGGTGCCCTGTCTCGGCGGTACTAACAGAAAAAAAATGTCTCTTTTTATTCCCAGGAGGATATGAAGCTTTTTCTGCTTCCTGCCCGGAGCTGTGCAGCAAACAGTCGACCCCCATGGGGCTCAGCCTTCCCCTGAGTACTAGCGTCCCCGACAGCGCCGAATCCGGGTGCAGTTCCTGCAGCACCCCACTCTACGACCAGGTTAGTAGGGAGGAGCCGTGCCAGAGGGGAGAAGGAACAGCTGGCAAAGGTGGAAGAGCAGTGCTAGTGAGAATATAGAAAGCGACATGCAGCTTCATTTGTAACAGGGGACACGGGATATTATTTATCCCATGGTTAAGTGGTATGATGGAGCTGGGTCTCTTAATTGTTGGCCCTACAGAAATGAACTTGTTGGCCCTGCCTAGGCAAATGGGTTTAGTCCCCTATTTATTTATACTCTAACAGCAGTGCTACAAAGTTCACCCAGTGTTGAAACTGACTTTTCCAGCAGGGAGTTTTTGTGGGTGTGGGCACCAGCATTGACATTGAATAAAGCTTGACAAGTGTTGGATATTTCTGGATTTCAGGGTGGCCCAGTGGAGATCCTGCCTTTTTTGTACCTGGGCAGTGCCTATCATGCTTCTCGCAAGGATATGCTGGATGCCTTGGGCATCACTGCCTTGATCAACGTCTCGGCCAACTGTCCCAACCATTTTGAGGGTCACTACCAGTACAAGAGCATCCCTGTGGAGGACAGCCACAAGGCGGACATCAGCTCCTGGTTCAACGAGGCAATTGACTTCATAGGTAAATGGAACAGATGCCTGAGACTTCTGCCTCACTCCTTCCGTTTTAGTCACTGAGCTTAAACTCTATGGCAAGAACCTGAGTGACATACTTTTAAGCGTTCCTCTAGACGTTAATGTCAGTCTGGTGTGGGTAGCATCTCTGAGAAATATAGATTCAATGTCCCATTTTATAGATTAGCAAACTGAATCTCAGAATGTTGATTTGTGCAATAGCAGTCTGCTTAGTGGTGATGCCTGGTCTGGGTTTAAATGCCCTGCTGTTCTTTTCCACACTGCCTCTACAAACAGTGTCCGTGTGATGGCATGAGGCGATATTGACCACCTCTGGACAGGACACACATGACGTTTCTTAGACACCCTATTCCTGGGGTTGGGGTTGTTCTCCTGGGCTCTCAAGTAACCAACTGCACTTTGTTTTCCAGATTCCATCAAGAACGCTGGTGGAAGGGTGTTTGTCCACTGCCAGGCGGGCATTTCCCGATCAGCCACCATCTGCCTCGCTTACCTCATGAGGACTAATCGAGTCAAGCTGGATGAGGCCTTTGAGTTTGTGAAGCAGAGGAGAAGCATCATCTCCCCCAACTTCAGCTTCATGGGCCAGCTGCTGCAGTTTGAGTCCCAGGTCCTGGCCCCGCACTGCTCGGCAGAGGCGGGGAGTCCCGCCATGGCTGTGCTCGACTGCGGCACTTCCACCACCACCGTCTTCAACTTCCCGGTCTCCATCCCCGTCCACCCCACGAACAGTGCATTGAGCTACCTTCAGAGCCCCATTACAACTTCTCCCAGCTGCTGAAAGGCCACAGGAGGTGATCCTCACAACCCAGCAGGACTCCAGGCTCCTTCCTGAAAGGAGAAATGCAGTAACTCCAGGGAAGGGAGCTTGTGAGGGCTGGTCCTTATTTATTTAATTTCACCCGAGTTCCACTGGGTTCCTGAGTGGTCGTAGTGATGACTTAGCACCAAGACGTTTGCTGAACTCAGCAGGTTTCGGGACCAAAATACAGTGGGTACATAAGGTCCCTATGACAAAATGGGGCAGAAGAGAGAGGACTCAGTGTGTGAGTCGATTTCTTTTTGCTTGTCCCTGTTTTCTGAAGACACTTTCATGCTTGACATACCTACCAGTATTACCATTCCTGACGACACATATACATATGAGAATATACCTTATTTTATTTATTTTTGTGTAGGTGGTCCACCTTCACAAATGTCAGTGTCTACTCCTAGAAGAACCAAATACCTCAATTTTCTGTTGTGAGTACTGTAATATCCTGTAAATATAGCCTAAGCAGGCTTGTTTTCAGCACTGATGGAAAGCACCAGTGTTGGTTTTGTTTTGTTTTGTTTTTAAGTTGCCAACAGTTGTATGTTTGCTGATTATTTATGACCTGAAATAATATATTTCTTCTTCTAAGAAGACATTTTGTTACGTAAGGATGACTTTTTTATACAACAGAATAAATTATGGCCTTTCTATTGAAAACTTGATGCTTTATTTCTTGGGCAGCCCCACTGATCCCTCTCCCATCACTGAAATAGGGGAGAACAAGGTCCTCCAGAATGTGTGTTGGCATCTGATCCCATACTCTTTGGTGGTCCCTCAGTCCCACAAGATGGCTGGGTTGCAAGGATGGTAGAGAAGTGTGATCAATCATAAAAAAACAAACAAAAAAACATAGGTGCTGGAGCTGAGCTCTTGGTATTGGATTCAAGTGTCCACCTATGTATCTTCCCATCATGTCTCCCTCAAGTGTCCCCAGAGCCAAAACTAGGAAGAAGTAGCCATTTACTTGGTTGCTTTTTCCATTTAATACCTTCCCCAGGATAACACAAAAAGCCTCCCTCCCCTCTCTGATCTCTGCTGAAGTGATGAGGATGATAGCTTTTCAACACATTTGCTATAAATGTGTTTCTACTATGTGCAAGGCAGGGTGTGCTAACTGACCCTAGAACAACTCGGCAAGATCTGCAAATGAAGATGGTGAGACCCAACATAGCTAAGTGGCACAAGTCGGGGAATTGGGCCCTACATCTGTTTTGTTTCCTAATTCTATGTGCTTTGTGCTTTATCACTT